CGCATCTGTAGTCTTATTGTATGCAGTTGGTTGTAGATGTCCATGGACTGCAGTAACCAATTACCGTCATAAGTTCTCCTGTCCCTTAAATACTACAAAAAATATTTGGACAAACAGACAGAGCGAAAGAATATTTGTATAGTAGCAGAAACTTAACAAAGAATAATCGTTGATTAAAACTACTTTGACGGATTTTATCACGTTTAATTTCATTGATTTTCAAGTATCATTTTTGGTAAGTTATTAAAAAGCTGAAGGTACTCCGGGTTAACACAGACATCGGGACGTCAGTTACCCCCATGACCATGGGTGCTGGAAAGCACACAAAACGTCAGGAATTAAAAATCAAATAAATTAAATACGATAAAATCCGTTAAAAGTAGTTTTAATCAATGTGTAGTGTTCGCGTAAATATAAGAAATCATTAAAGAATAATATTTTTTTTTTCAATTTAACAAATTTCTTTTAGCAGTTTGTAACCACTTAAGGAATAATAATAACATATAATAAAAATAATAACTTTACTGGAAAATTCATCTATAAGGTAAAACAGAAGCTACCATACCTAAGGTTATGAATAAAATTTGCCAGGAACACTTGGCAGCGGTGAACCAACGCGTCACTTAACCCAAATATCGTGTACGTGTTTTGTGTTCGACAATAAAAGGAAAAGCAACACGTGTTTTCGATTTATGCGAGTCACTTCTAATTGCGTTTGAAACGAGACAAGTGCTGAGAGTGCTGCCTGAGATTGCATTGCTTCCAGTGAGATAAAACCTGTCACCTGTAAATTCAATTTGGTCGGTGACACAATTCTTGCATTTCCTGCCTTTTGAATATTTTTTTGCTGATTTAATATGGCAAGGAATAACATCGTAAGGAAACCTGCATGTCTAAAAAATAAAAATAATATTACGAATACATGTAAAGTCCGCCAACACGCATTTTTTATAGGATAAGGATAACAAAGGAGCATACAGTCCATATGGTGGTAAATGGTAGCTGTGGCCCATAGACATACATCTATCCTCGATTACGAATCAAAATGCAGATGCGTTGTCACCTGTGAGTACTAAGATAGAATGCTGCGTTTCCAGTAAAAATGATCAACGGTTCTCTACACTCACCATACGAAACACAGCAGCATTATGCTGCTATATTACGCTGGTATTCAGTGAAAGCGTGGTCCTTACCCGGTCGAGCCGAACCATTCGTACTACAACTACGCTATTAATATAGCTGAAGCATAGCTCTACCACGTAAAAAAGCATTTAGCCAGATTTCTGTCCACTTCCCGTACTGTATCATACATGTACATATTATCTCTACACTTCCTTGCGTTAAAAACCTTCTGAGTAGCGAGATTACGCCCAACTGTGGGACGTACATTGACTGTACATAACTTCACTAAGGATTAAAAAATGAATTTGCTTCGCATAATAAAATAAAATGTTCTGTCGTAACTGGTTTGAAGAGTACCTTCCGCCCTCTTTCTATTGCGTACACTAGGAAAGTGTAGTTGTGTGAGTATAGTGGTTACAGGTTAGTGGTCTCTTTAGTGGTGTTGGGATAAGTGGCGATGGTGATAGTGCACACAATTGAGTGATGGCGATAAGTGCTCTACAGACTGGGTAAGGCATATCATGTTATTTTATTACGTGGATCTTAACTATAACATTCTATACAATTATATCAGTTACCATGAATATTTGGTTTATCATTTGTATCTATACCTACCTTAATGATTATTTAGGTATTTACGCGAAAATTGAATAAAACTATTTATAGGGATTTTATCGCGTTTAATTAACTGTTTTTTTTTAATTCCCGGCGTCTCGGGTGTTACGTGAAGCAATGACTCTCCGGGTATTTTGCAATATCAGATTTGATAAACCACAAATTCTCGCAAAAGAACACCGATTTCTACCAAGGATGGTACGCGAGACGACACATATCTACTAATTTCAATAGAGAAAATAGATGGGTGCTACCATCTGCTTAAGGTCGTATAGTTAACAAAATTAAACCCAAACCCAAGCATACCACTGCAAGACTTCAAGATACTGTAAGCTCGTTCTGAGTAGGTCTGACCAAAAATTAATACTAAAAAACTAAAGGCCGAGCTAAGTATGACATTGGGACAAACGTTTCAGTCCCCTCCGTGTCCATGGATGCTGTAAGGCACCCGAAACGTCGGGAATTAAAAATTTAATTAAACTGGATAAAATCCATATAAATAGTTTTATTCAATGCATACTAAGAGCTAGCGGGCACTGGTTATTTTTGTCACAGTGACATTAAAGTTTTTGTCGTTGTCACGTCACGTTTCCAAAGCAAAAACAAAAATGTCACCCAGTTGGTACGTCGTAACGTGCGCGCATCTCCATACATATCCACGGACTTGATATGACTTACGAAACAGCTACGGTGACGAAAATCACCAGTGCGCGGTAGCTCTTACCTTATTAAAACGCTGTATGTACGAGTACGTACGACAGACGATAACAGACGTATTAGGAACCGATGACTAAATAGTAAATATATGATGATGATAAAATAAATTTTACGACCGCACGGTAAATCAACACTACAAATTGCAATTAACAATTTCATTGGTGCAGGCGAGAATCGAACCCAAGCTGCCCGCGTGTGCACGTGTGCTTACTTATGATATTTCTAGCGAGCGCTGCCCCTGAGCTACCACAGGATATTAATGTAATAGTTATATTTATTGCTCCAGTTTAATACCGGCCAGCCATCACTGCCCAGCTGCCGTTGGTTCCAATTGCTACATCTCGTAAACCCGTTCGTGTTTTCAAACGTAAACAAAGCTCGGCTACGGATTAATTTATACACTACTTTATACGTGGTAGAGCCATCTATTTTGCTGCAGCTACACTATGATTATAAGTAAGAGCGTGGTCCTTTCCCGGTCAAGCCGACCTATGGCTCTACCATGTATAAAAAATTGATAAATCCTGTGATAAGTGAGAGTGTGTCCTCGTTTTTCGCTTTATTTTCTATAAAATACAACCTTATCTCTATTTCAGTACATTTGATATCTCGAAATTTTATAACTCATACAGAATACCAGCGTAAAATAGCACCTTAGTGCCGCTGTGTTTCGAAGGGTTAGTGTACAAAATCGGAGACCCTCTTACCGATATTACATTCCATTTTAATTATCAGGGGTGACAACGCATCTGAATTCTGATTCTTAATCGAGGATACATGTAGATTTACATGGGCTACAACATCCACTTACTATCAGGTGGACTGTGTGCTCGCTTGTCACCCTTATTCTTTAAATAATTTATGTCTATATTTTAGTAGTACATTTGAAAATTAATCTCGTAACTTAAAATAAATGATTACAGGGATGACAATAAAACCTTATAATAAAAAAAGCTTAAATTATTCACGCTATGGCTGACTCTATTTTAAGACATCACCAAGGAATGAAAAAAAAATGTATTACACACTTGATTTCACAGCTTTAGATGTTTACGTGAGGGAGAAAATAACATCTCGGGTCGTTGGCCGCATCTAGATTACACTGCGTCTGATTAAAGTTTTATAGAACAATCAACGTCAGCGACTGAAACGTTTGAAAAACTTTGAAGTTACGGGCAATCAGGTGTATTACTTGGAATTGAATGTTCAACACGTTATGAGATCTTGTCTTTTATTAAGAAAATCGTTATTAACTACAGTTTAATTTATGATTTACGGTCTACTGATCTTTAATGGGTATTTTAATGGGCAATAGTCAGTTATTATCTTTTGATGTTGAAGCATCTTATTAGTCCGTAGCTGATTTATTAAGGTTAATAGTTTTTGGAATATATTAATAAAATAAATCTTGATTTTTACAAGGTCGAAGTTTGATATTTGTAATACGAATAAACATTTGAGACACTAATAGAAATAGGGATAAAATAATATACTAATATTGCATGAAGTTTAAATATTTTGACTTTATTAGAATTTTGAATTCTTAAATTCTAAATATATGTTAAAAACTACATTAAATGTTATAGGTTACTAGCTGTTCCCCGCGACTTTGAACGATCACGATTGGATTTCATGAGTTTTAATTTATTTGCGCGGAGCCCTAAATGTTTTTCTAAAATAAAAGTACCCTAGTTATTCCTTATAACATCGGCTATCTCTCAAGTCCCGTCAAAATCAGTCTAGACAATTCGGAGATTAGCCGGAACAAACATACAGACAGACAAAAAATTTAAAGAGTGTGTTTTGTAATAAGTTCCGTATATACTTTCATAAAATGTATTAGTATGCATATAATAGTATGCACGCATTTAGTAAACACCTGTTATTTTTTCATTACAAACAAGCCCTTCAATTTGATTTATGTGGTTAGATTTGTATGGACAAAAAGGACTAATCTAGAAATTGTTCCATCCTTATATCTAAAGAAGGATCTGTCTTATACATCATCAGTACTTAGAAGTCCACTGCTGAACACCAGTTGAAATCAGGCACCTTCACATTACTGACAGTTGCCGGTCTGTAAATTGTGCGTCTTTTTGTAGGATAAGGGTGACAAACGAGTACACAGTCAACTTGATAGTCAGGGGTTGCTGTGGCCCGTAGACATCTACATCTGTCCTCGATTATGAAACAAAATGCAGATGCGTGGTCACCCCTTAGGACTGAGACTGACAGCCTCATTTTCAGTAAATTGGATTACTTACACTCACTATAAATACAGCAGCATTAAACTGCTATTTCACACTCTAGCGTAGCTCTTCCCTGGTCGAACCGACCCATGCGTGCTGCAACCATAAAATAGCTGCAGCATTATATAGAACATCGAGGCTGGGTACTCTGCGTCGGTGCTCGAGGGTGACCAGTTGGTTTCAAGTACATCAAGGTCACCGGTAATAACGAATCTTAGTCGTTTTTTCAGAGAATTTTAACAAGAATCATACGTGACGTAAACAATGTTTTTAACGTGAATAATTTAACCATTCCAGGTGGCTAGTGCGCGTTGTGGAGGACGTGGAGGATGGACAGCTCCGCACGCGGCAGGGCTGGGTGCCCGCGCAGCTGCTTAAAGAGAAGAAACCTGAACGTGACCTGACAGCACTCGCTGCTAGACGACAGTGAGTATGCAATCGGCTCCGTGGCGCACTGACTTAGCAATGTGTCGCACCGCGGATTCGTACAAATATTTGTAAGGCCTACAAATAATTTTTCCAGGTCTGGATGTTTGTCCTAACAAAATTGATGTATGTAAACTCCACGAAACAGGATAATGTAAAAAAATAATCATGCATACCTTCTTAACCGTATCGACCTTTGAAGCATACAGATACAGAAGAGATATGATGCCTACATGAAATGCCCTCTGATAATAGATAGGGATTTAAACATTGCATAAGAAAAGAATCGAAGTTATCGGCTTACTCTATTTAGACGCATCATATCACATTAAATGAACCAAACATCAACGGCAGCCTAATAACGCTATTGAAAGTATTCGAAAGACTCCTCTAAATTGAACGAGCTTCGTACTACCACACACACACACACACACACCCCACAAAAAATATATATATATATATATATATATATCTACGAACACTTCATATGCATGGAAACTTTTGCAGCTCACGGATACCTGCAACCAACATCAAATAAAGAAGGCGGGCTACTACGTTACCACCTCTGAAGACTAAGGGAAAATGCCTCACAGACTATATTTGTTCTGACTTTACCATACCATACAGACTGGAACACAACAGTACGATTACTGCTAGTTGATGGTCGAAATACCACAGAGGATGTTAACTAACTAGATGGTCTGCTAGACAGAACAGAAGTCATACCATAGCCACCTACAGGGTGGGCCATCTAACGTTTGGAATTGGAACTATAGGTTATTTGAAGGTTGGAAGGTTTGAGGACATTTCCGATGGGACAGAATGTTAGTTTTATGTTTGAAATTTATGAAATGGGTTACTTTTCGCTTGAACAAAGATAGGAAATATTAAAAACTCATTTCTTTGAGTAATCTGCTCAAACTGTACAACTCGTCATCTTTCTCAAGAATTGAACATATCACGCACTTCCTTGAGAAGAATTTTTTCATAAAGATCGGTAATATAAAGATTCGGTATGAATGCGAACAAAGCTAAATAAGTGCAAGAGCTGAAGCGGCATCCGATGCGTTATCGTTTTACTCGATGGGCCGAATACCGCTTGATTGAAGATGAGCATTTTTACCGAAAAATCATCTTTTCAGATGAAGCTCATTTGCATCTCGGAGGATACGTCAATAGGCAAAATTGTCGTATCTGGGGCTCATAAAATCCACCCATCATGGTGGAGAACCCAAATGCACCCACAATGAGTGACTGTCTGGTGCGGATGTTGGTCTGGCGGCATTCATGGGCCAAATTTTCTTCGAAAATGAGCAAGGAAACGCCGTTACAGTGATTGGCGATCGCGATTTTTTGTTTACACAGATTGAAGAGGCTGACATAGACGACATTTGTGTCAACAGAGCGACTGAACGTGCCACACAGCCAACGTAACAATCGATCTTTTGCGCAGTGCACACTAAACTAATAACTTTGAAAAAATATTCATTAGTTATTTTTTCATATAGCGGATTCATATTCTAAATCTTAAATGGCCCACCTCTTAGTATATTTAAAAAATTTAAACGAAAATACCAAGTGTATAAATATAATAAAATAATGTTTGGACTTCAGTTGCGCCATTTACTGCTAGGCTAACTACTTTATAAAACAATTCGACTTGAGTGTACATCTAACAAGCCCATCGTAAAACTTGCCAAACGATGGGGAGCCGCAGGTCAGAGCTTTCGGCCAAGATGCTTAACGACATCGTAAAACAGGCAGTGTTTTGGTCTACAGCTCATGTTTTATATTTTCCAGAGAATTTGAATCTACTGGAATAGTTTAACTTACTATAAACTGCTAAAAATAATTTATTTAATACGTTTTAAACATCTGTTTGAAATGAAAAGTGTTGACTGTTTTAGAAGCTTTCCAAATATGTATACTTTTTTTTTATTATTATAAGCTACTACTTGACATCTATCCTACTTGAAGATAAGCGGTGATGCAGTCAAAGATGGCTTAGCGTACTGATACAGTTGAAAAATCCTATTCACTCTTGCCGTGAAGATACTTTATAACCGGAATGAAAGACAGAAGCTGGCAAATTATTTCACTCCTTTGCTGTAAAAATTATGAACGACGAAGGAAACCGTTTGATTTGAATGCGTGGTATGTCGACAACAAAGGGGTGGATACGGAGAGGAAAGGAGAGATAGAAATTAAGTTATGAAATTCCTGCGCACGCTCTCCGAAATGTATCTTATAAAAACCGACAGGCTGGCTACTTTACGTTATGCTGTGTAAACTGGTCTCCGGTTTTCGTTAATCAACATTAAAACACAGAAGCGTTTTTAAGTTATTTTCCGATAGTATTATGGGTGGTGGTAATGGTTCGTCCTTTGAGCCGACCCATTCGTGCTGCAATCATATTATAGTTAAAGCGTTGTGGTCTCATTAGTCAATCTGTGCTAGAAAATTGTACATATCGTTCAAGTGAGTCCTATACGCAGGCAGTAGTTAAGGTATCTTGTTGATTCTACTCCCATGTTTTGTTAAAAATTTGAGTTGTGGCAGCATACAGTTCATTGCTTAAAAAAAATTACAGATTTTATAGGGCCGCATGACGAAAACTCAATGGGAAATGACAAGGTCATTCAGCAATGGATTGTTTTCACTCACTTGGAAAAACATGAAAAAAGAATAGATTGGCATATCTAAATCAACCTAGTGGGCAAGTCTTATTAGACACTCAAATCGTCTCGTCTACAGAATCGTTTAAATTATATATATAATAAAGGGCCGGCATAAATAATTTTTTGGGCCGGTATGAAATGCACTTTGGCAAAGCACTGCTAATATTGCGAATGTTTACGTTACGAGCTCCCAAGTGTTATAAATGACCAAAATAATCTGTGGCGCATTAATCATGTGCAAATTTTAAGGTGACCAGATAAACAACGAAATATACGGGACATAATGTGTAGGTTTTTAATACGTGGTAGAACCACGCTGCAGCTGTGCTAGCTATACACAGTTTCAGTACCAATGGCCAACCCATTCGTGCTACAATCATAATATTTCAGGTCACCACCATATCACAGAGCTAAATAACCTTTGTCATAATACAAAAATAGTGACAGTTAATAGATCGTAATTTAGAGAAATATACCACGGTGTTCCACAGGGGTTTGTATTAGGCCCCCTTCTTTTCGTGTTGTATATAAACGACCTTCCAAAACATATTCCAGATCCAATAATATTATTCGCGGATGTCTGCACCGCACTCGTCAAGTATTCTTCCAGGGAATTACTTATATCAGGTAGATGTTAGCATTACACTTAGAAATATTGTAAAATGGTCAAACAGTAACCAATTAAGTATTAATTTGTCAAAAACTTATGTTTTACAATTTTATTCCAAATTTCAAAAACTGTTACCAATAAATTTAGAATATGAGTCAGAATTAATACGGTAGGTGCAATCAACAAAATTCTTGGGCTTAACTGTTGACAATCATTGTAGCTTGCAAAAATCTTCTACCCTTTAAGAAGAATAACTTCTAACGTATCTGTTTAAGCAGATTTGATGGCATACTATGTGTATATACAACTTGTTTTAGCCGATAGTATAATTTTCTGGGGTAACGCCCGATATATCGGCAGGGTATTTAAAATGCAATAAAAGTTCATAAGAACTTTGTGCAGGCCTCTCAGAGTGACTCTTGTAGATACTGCTTTTTAAGAAACTGGGCATTTTGACACTACCCTGCTTATTCATTGATGAGGTATCGTTGTTTGTACGGAAATATAAATGTTTATTTGAAAAATCTAAGAATCGTAGAAAGCCTTTCAAAATAACAAGTTCATTTCATTCGAAAACAGCACAATACAATAAAAGCATTTATTGTAATACCATTAAAATTTACAATAATATTCCTGACTCTTTTCAAAATATGAACGACATAAAATTTAAAAAGGTACTGAACACGTGGTTATGAGACAAATGCATCTACAGCTTACAAGAATTTATGGACAATAAAGATTAAATAAAGTAGCATATATTTAGTGGTTAGATTTATTAATTAAATGAATTCAAACACATTATTGAACATTAAAACAAAATTATAATAAAAAGTTTCATCCTTAAGTTATTTTTAGTATAGATAACTGACATAATATTATTGTAATAATAATCTTAAAAAAAATATGATGACGTTATTGATTGAATCTATGTACTTGTCAAAGATATTGATGATTTTTAAAATATATTTCAGGCTTAATATAGTGTACCCGAAATTGGCAGACTATGGAGCACAAATGTACATGACATATTCTTAAAATCTTTTTTAATTTTACTTATAGTCATGCAATAAATATTTTTATTTGATTTGACAGGTATAGGGCTTTACCACGTATGATAATGAGCCCTAAATCGCAAGTCTAGCTGAGAATTTTTATACGTGGTAAAGCCATGCTGCAGCTTTATTAAGGTTATAGCATGAATAGGTTGGCTCGATCGGAGTAAGTCCACCCTAGTACAGTCCCACCAGCAAGCGTGAAACAGTAGAAATAATGCTGCTTTGTTTCCTATATGGTGTTCCGAGAACCGGAAATTCTTTTTACTGGTAACGAAGCATTCCATCTTAGTCCTAAAGGGTGACAAAGTACCTGCTTTTTCATTCATGACAGATGTAGATATCATTGGGTCATAGCATCCATTGCTATCAGGAGGATGATATATTCGTTTTTTCACCTATATTCTATAAAAAATAATATTTATTACTTTTGTTGCCGCTGTGTTCAAGTCCCGCGGGTATAGTTAAGTCGATTATAGAAACGCGAGGACAATATCAGTTTTTGGTTTAACTGTTTCGTATATTTTACATGCACAATAACCAGATATGCAACTAGCACCATCGTTAAAGTCAAAGTCAGATATCTCAAATTTTCCTGATGCTGTTAATGAGCATGGCCATTTTGCAATAGGGTAACGCCAGTTTCTGGCAGTAGGCTATTTGAGTACAGATGATGAAGAAGAAGAATCGGTAAACCTTATGTCAAGAAGTTTTATTAATGCAGTATTACTGTCAACGAAGCATTTCGTCTTGTGGTGTCAAACGCATCTACATTTTGATTCTTAATCGAGGATAGATGTAAATGTGTATGAGTCACAGCACCCACAATCATGTGGACTATGTGATCGTTTGTCATCCTTATTTTAAAAGGATTTTTTTGGGGGACAAATTAAATGTATACCTAAACCAGTCTAAGCTCAACTTTTGCGAGTTTTCTTAAATAAAAGAATGACGTCAGCGCAGGATAGTTCAATTTTATTAACCACACAAAGCATTTCATGATGATAAATCATAAAATATCCTTTCGAGCATGAACATAAACATATCATGGTCACCCTAATGTTATATTTCTCGCCAAAGCAATAAATCAATTTCAAGCCCAATTAGTCAGCGAGCTGTCTCTTTACCTGGCGTCCTCACGGGCGGCCGTTTACTGATAAAATATGATCTGCCCGCCTACACATAGTGGGGCATATTCTGGAGCCCTTCAATGTCTTCCCAATGTCGTTTATATTTGATATGCTGACTTACTTTAAAAAAATAGCTTAGAATGCAAAATTAATACGAAAAAGTACATTATGTAGGTACGTGTGTTGGTCCTCAATCATCTTCTTCCTCAGCCTGTTAGTGACTAAGTTCTATTAAGCTCAGGGGATTATTTGCATGCTATTAAGTAGTAATTAAGACATAAATTATTAATTTTAATTTTTTTGTCTGGTTGTGCAATGACTGAACCGATAAAGATGAAACTTAACAAACAGTGTGCGTGTGCTAACGTGCGTGTGTGTGTATGTGTGTGTGTGTGTGTGTGTGTGTGTGTACGTGTGTGTGTTTCGATTGTGTGTGCGTGCGTGCTTTTGAAAACAAAAGTCATAAACTAACATACAAAAAATTGTATGTTAGTTTATGACTGGGTTAGAGTTTAAATGGCTGAACCGATAAAGATGAAACTTAACGAACAGCGTATGTATGCGTGTTCGTGCGTGTTCGTGTTCGTGTGCGTGTGTGTGTGCGCGTGCGTGTGCGTGTGCGTAAGTGCGTGCCTGCGTGCGTGCGTGCATGGTGTGTGTGTGTGTGTGTGTGTGTGTGTGTGTGTGTGTGTGTGTGTGTGTGTGTGTGTGTGTGTGTGTGTGTGTGTATTTGTGTGTGTGTGTATGTGTGTGTGTGTGTGTGTGTGTGTGTGTGTGTGTGTGCGCGATTGTGTGTGCGTGCGTGCTTTTGTTTTTTGTTTGTTAGTTTATGTGTGGGTTAGAGATTAAATGGCTAAACCGATAAAGATGAAACTTAACGAACGGTGTGTGTGTGTGTGTGTGCAGTGTGTGGATATGCAAGTATCTGCGTTATTAAGTGAATTGAAACACGAGTGAAGTTAAGATGATATGTGGTAATGATGATGTGGTTAATATGTTATTTTTTAGTCTAAACGTGACATAGTATGTTTTATATACGTTCAGTGTCAGTACGTTACTTCGAAGCCAATTTGAGACAAGGTTGTAGACTAACTGGGCAATACTGACTGAACGCATAGACTTCTTGCCATGTATGCACTTAACATGCGGAAGGTGTAATCTGCAAAACTTATGATCGGCCCTTTAGGGCGAGGGAGAAATAAGGTTGGAGAGAGTACACTGCCCTGAGGCTTTCTATAGGTAATTATGCGTTTAGCACTAACGAATTTATCCACTAAAACCCACTGAGTACGTCCACTCAAGTAGTCTTCAAAAAGTCGCAGTTGGATACGTAAAATATACCGTTTAGACCGGAACATAGCAGTGTACACATAGCTTTTTTTAACTAACCCTGTGCTCAACCAATACCACACCTGGTGGTAAATGGTGATAAAGCCCTAGATGGTATCATACTGTCCTTGCATAATAAACGCCTATTTACTTTTGCCTTGAAGAAGCCCAGAGTAAATTCGAATTGAAAAACAGACCCCCAGATCCACCCCCTTCGCAAAAAAGCCGACGATAATATAAGTAACACTACCGACGATTCCAATGTATAAATAAAGTCCCTACTGTGTAACAATTTCTTATATAGATGTTTATACTTCCAGGTAAAATAAACTAATTTTTATAGATTTTATCGCGTTTTTTTTTAAATAGAATAAGGGTGACAAACGAGCACACAGTCCACCCGATGATAAGTGGATACTGTGGCGTATGGATATCTACTTTTATCCTCGATTAAGAATTAAAACGCAGACGCGTTGTCACCCCTGAGGACTAAGATGGAACGCCTCGTTTCCAGTAAAAAGGGTCTCCGGATCTCTACATTCACCATACGAAACACAGCAGTATTTAGCTGCTATTTTACACTGGTATTCTGTGAGAGCATGGTCCTTCCCAGTTCGAGCCGAACCATTCGTGCTACAACAAAAAATATATCTGCAGCGTGGCTCTACTGTACGTATAAAGCGTTTTTTTTTTTAATTTTTGTATCCAACGTTTCGGGAGCTTTACTGCACTCAGGGAGGACTTTGATGTTAGACGTCTCGATGTCATAGTAAGCCCGACTACCTTCAGTTTTTAAATATTAATTTTACATCATATTTCTCCCTGCCAGGGCGGTGGTGCGCGAGTTGATAGAAACAGAAGAAGAGTTTGGGCGCGACATACAGCAGGTGGTGTCGCGATACATGCGGCCACTGGACAAGGCTACCACGCCCAAACCTGTCTTTGACAACCGGGACCTGCTGTTCTCCAACTTCAAGCAGATCTGCGAGTTTCACAATACGTAAGTACTTACATTTTTTATTTGCTTCCCCTTAATTGGTTGTGCTAAATATTGCCCACAAAAAAGTTTGGTCGCGGTTCCTATACATTAGTTTCACAAAGCTAAACATCCGGACCCAGCACAATTATTTGTATACCCAAATACTTGTCCCGTGCGGGATTTGAACCTTCGCAACTTAATTTTAATGTTCTGCGCCATAGAGCCGTCTATTAACGTGACTGATTCTCTAACATCGTCACCGCATTGTAATCGTGTTTAGGCTCCTCTTCACGATTGCCAATATATGTGCCATGGTATTGATGGCACATATATTGGCCATCATACGGATAAAGTCGATGCCATTTTTGAAAACATAGAACAAAGTCGGCATATAAGCAGTTACGACATAGTCGAGGAATTCAGGATTGACCACAAAACGGTTTTGACCCATTTGAAAAAGTCTGGCTTTACAAAACAGCTCAATATTTGGGTACCACTCTAGCCTACTGAAGAAAGCCTTATGAATCGTGCACTTACTTGCGATTCTCTATTGAAACGCAACTGAACCATTTTTGTATTGATGGTACAAAACCGTAAAACATGAAATCATTGAATTTTTTTTTTTGACAAAATGTAATTATATTGCTGTTTTTGTATCTAACAAATACATTCATTAACGCAAGAAAAAAAATTTACGTCATTTGTTAAGACATTTTTATAAACAATTTCTTAACAATTGACGTAAAATTAAAAAAAAATTAAAAAACAAATATACAAATTTAATAATTAACTAGTGGCCAAAATCATTTAATAGTTTCAAAAAAGACGTTTTTTTTACTATGTGACGTTCAATCCATGAAACCGCCAACTTCAAACAAAAACGAAAAATATATCTAGTATCAGAAAAGGTAAGAGAGTGGCGGTAACTACTTCGTCTTGGTGAACTCTTAGGTAGAATAAATCGTGTCTCCTTTTTCATCTAAGGCAATCACAATCCGCGTGAGACAGTCGGTAACCGATTATTTCGTTGGCGAAAATAAAACACAGAATTTTATACGGTAAACGCACAAGTTTCAACACCTACCACGCTGAACGACTCGGTTTGCGTACTACCGATCATGCGGAAAAATCTGTTTACCACTTTGCCTTAGCATATAGTCTGATATAACTGGTCACTTCTGCCTACCGGATTATAGATATGAAAGATCTTACACCTTCCCTGTTGAACCTTCCGCTGACCTCTCGTCCGGACGGCTATCAGGCCTCCGTCAAAGTCTGATCCGGAGTACAGTACCCAATCGGGAGGCTGCCACCGTGTGCTGGCACTATACGTCAGCAGATAGGGATCGGATGCGGGCTTTTTTCGCATAAACGTATTTGCATCACGTTGGATGATCCAAAAAAATCGTTTCTGAGTTTATCGCCGATGCGATGCTTCAGGGGATTGAACTTTTTGTCCCGTCATCTATTGTGTCTATTGGCGGCAGATCCCAGCCTTGATTTGGACGCTCCTGCAAAATTCCGTCGCGTCAAAAGCAGGAGTGTTACAAGGCCTGAGCTGACGCATCAGTGTCCCGGGATGAAAACACTAGCGTACTGAAAACAGATCCTTCAAAATAGTTGTCGCTAGGGCAAAGTCGGAGCACATTGGGAGAATTGACGAGAAACTAGTTCGCCTTCCTTCGGGAAGTGCGTGCGTTCTGATTCTTCGCCAAGTCTACCCAAGGGAATTTCTGTAAGCCATCATTACCATCTTTGAGCAGGGAATATGACTCGCTGGCCCGAGCCGCAAAAGAGAAAGTCGATCTTTTAGGTCCTCTTTTTGCATCCAATTCGACTCTCGCCGACGGGAGGAACATACGACCGACCATACCGCGGTGTGAGTGCTCAATGCTGGATGTGCTGTTTACACAGCGCTCGGTGCGCAAAGCGTTCCTGTCCCTAGACGTCAACAAGTCGAGTGGGCCTGATGGAATCCCCCAAATTGGGCTGAAGACATGTGCTCTAGAGTTGGCACCGGTTCTTACTCCTCTCTCTCTCTCTCTGTCTCTCTCTCTCTCTCTCTCTCTCATCAGGCTTGTAGAAGACAGCTTTAGAGATCCCTAAAAGTGGTGACCGCTCAGACCCGTCCAACTACAGGCCTATGGCCATCACCTGGTTCTCCAAAATAATGGCATCCATTATTAACTGCCGGTTCATGCGGTACCTTGAAGAGCATCAGCTGATTTATTCTCAGCGGGTGATCTTCTTATCTACCTGACTCACCGATGGGCGTTAGTTAGTTAGTTAGTTTGGACATAGCGAAGTACTTCATCGGGTTTGACTTCTTTCAATGCTTCCCTCTTATGGGCTTCCCGAAAAATTGTGCCAGTCACCAGTTTTCTTACAGATCGATGTATTAAGGTCACAGTCGACGGTGTTTGCTTCGACTCCAAGCCTGTGAATGCTGGTGTTCCACAAGGCTGCGTGCTATTGCCTATCCTGTCCCTGCAGCATTGTTATGCAGACGACATACTCCGACACCGGTCATGCTAATATTTCTCTGGAACATGTCGTCGAGTGCCAGAACATAATTGTGTCTTAAGTAGTCTTTGTAGAACTATGTTTCGGATCGGGAGCGACTATATCTAGTCCAGTTTAACCTCCAAAAGACACGTGCCTTCGCGTTTACCGCAAAAAAGAAATCCTTGGTCGTATCTTCTCGATTTCAGTACACATAACATTAGCTATTCCTAAAAATATAATATACTTTAAATAATCTTAACTTTGTAATAAACAAACTAAAAATGATAACCTGGAAGCCATAAGAGAATTTTCTGTTAATCCTGCCAAATGCAAAGTTATAATCTTCGGAAGTTCGCAATTATTGGCTAAGGTTGATTATGGAAATCACTCTCCTGTAATTTACAATGGAACTTTGATTCCATATTGTGATTCCGTAAAAAATCTTGGCCTTTACATGATTAAAACTTTTATCTGGAAATTGCAGATCTCTGAAGTTAGTCGTAAGCAGGTAGAAGGGAACGCAAGGTAGCAACAACCTTGCGTTCCCTTTATCGTCTTAAAAATTTCCTACCTTTCAAAACCAAACTTACGCTGGTTCATTCCCTCATTCTACCTATTATCGACTATGCAGACGTATGTATGTAACCCAGATCTGTCAGAAAATCTTCTAAACAAGTTGGAGCGCCTTCTTAATAATTCCATAAGGTTTGTTTTGGTTTACCAAGGTTAAGTATAATCACATATCATCCTATTGTTCAAAGCTTAAATGGCTACCTATACGTCAAAGGCGATGCTCTAGAATTTTACTTGTACTTTATTCAATTTTAAACGATCCAAGGTCGCCTTCTTATCTTAAGGATAATTTTCATTTTTTTCAATCGATCGACGATCGAACATCCCGACTGTCAAACCGTCTGAGGTTAAGGTTTCGACAGCATAAGTCTAATTTTTTTTAGATGGTCTTTTACGATACAACTTTAAAACACCAATGATATTAAGAATGCCACAGATAAGAAAGTTTTCAAAGTTCTTCTCCGAGAACATTACCTGAGGGCAACTACTAATTGACATTATTTTTCCTTAAGTCTTCCTTTTTCTTCTTTTTTTTACTTCAAGTATTTATTTCAATTCAAACATTATATATATATATATATATATATATATATATATATATATATATATATATATATATGTATTATTTATTATTGTACGTATATTTATGCTATATGTGTGTATATTTAAATGGATTGTGTAGTATGTACTTTGTATATATGTACATTTTAATTTATGTGCACTTTATTTATGTATTATGTTTCGCACGTGCCAACAATTGTCTTTGGCACCCAGGGTTGACTGGCAAAGAATGCCACATGGCATTAAGTCCGCCCTATGTACCTTTTAGCTTAAGGTGTTACATGTAAGTTTTTATATAAATAAATAAATAAATACCTACTTTGTAATAAATATAAACTTCGAAATATGAACATACCAAAAAAGATTTATAATTATTTGTGTACTAGTATCTACAATTTTAAATTAATAGTTTCTTATCAAAATTATTCTAAATTGAAAGGACAATCTCATTTCTGACTTTTTTTACATGTCAGAGTCTAACAGGGCCTATAGTAAACTACAGTATAACTAAACACCAACAAAAACGTAACCTATAGATGGTAAATAAACATATTGAGTATTTAATTGTTTTTTACTACTCAATACTTAAAAACTCATAGAAGATCAAGGGTTTCTCGATAGAATTTGCTACAGGCCCTGCGCTTGCTTTATCCGGCACTGGATTGAATGGTTTTACCGGCGGGCAAAACCATGAATTCGGAACTCTACTACCAACAGCTAATGAGACTCAAGCACGAAATTGAGAAAAAATCGGCCGGAATTGATCGACAGGATCTTGGCTAGTGAATTTTTAATGTCTTTCATATAATGGACTTTCGCAAAAAAACGCCTGATTTTATTAATTTATTGCATTTTTCCATAGGTCTCTGTTAGAAGGTATTATGTACTACGCGGGGGAGCCACGAATGCTGGGCCGCGCCCTCTTGCGAATGGAGCGCGAGTTCGACAAGCACGTGGCCTACTGCCGCGACGAGCCCAGGGCACAACACTTGCTAGCCAACGACCCAGTCGTTACCAAGTACTTCCAGGTAACGTAATTTAAAGCATTAGTTACTAGTGTAATGGGTAAATAATATCCACTGGGCGTTTTCCATAAAAGTTGTACCTTGAAAAAATCAGTGTCCGACCACTTTCAGAATAAATTATCAAATTTTATAAAAGTTTTTATTACATATCATTTATTTTAACAATAAAATAACATATAGTCTCATAAATCAAATAAAAATAAGGTCTGAATCTATTATAAATCAAAAATAAAATCAAAATAAGTAAAATGAGGTCGATGTTTTTGGTAATGTCCCACATCTACTGTGTCAAGTTCAGAGTCACATAATATGGTCGTGTTATATTATTATTCAAACGTTTTGCATTTGACTGGTCATTTATGACCGTAACTTCAATTATAAACCTTAAAATGTACATGTTACGGTTGAAAATTATTTTAAAATACCAGATTTTGGGTTGTCCTGCAAAATAGCGTATAATGGAATTTCCGCGTACGTGACCGGATTTTCAACGACTTCCAACAAAAAATACTACCAATTCAATACATTTTCCCAAATATAGCAACATTATTAGTCTATGGTGGCGCATAATTTTGCAGCCAGTTCGCCAACAAAACGTACTCGAAGTGGTTGTCTCGACTCATGTGAAAAAAATATTTCCACAAACGATACTGCTTTTCTCCAGGTAACGTATTCATGTGTATTTAATTCTATTTTCTATTAAACATGTTATTTATTGTTATTTGAAATGTTAAGTTATATTGAACAAAAGTGTGATAACTAATTAGTAAATTAATTTGAAAATTTTATTGGCATGGTTACGTTACCTCCATTAACGCTACTATCGCATGAATGGAATTCAAAAGTGACGTAATGGAATCCTAAATGTCGGTTCATAAAGTCATCGTTTTAATTAGTGTTCTAAAGTCTAAATAAATAAGTATGAATAAAATAATTATGAAATGCTTCGAATTTTTTAAATGAATTGCTTATTACTTAATTTTGTGTGTATATCAAACAAGATTTTTCGAGTAGGTATTTCGGCTCAAAACACTCCATTCAGGATAACATTAGAAAAATAACAGTGAAATAACGATAGTTATTACGTTATATTGTTGAAATGGCTGCATTTAGTGTTCAATTTTAATGGTATCTTGAATGAAAATCTTTTTTGTTTTTTTGCGTGAATTGATCGTCAAAATATATGTGATAAACAGTTATCACATTTATTTTGACAATTATTTCACGCAACGCTTTTTGTAAATCTGTATAAATTTTTTCACAAAAATTTGAGATTTTTCGTACGGGGTACATTATGATAACTCACTATTGTTTTTAGGCTTAAATATGCCCTTGACGGCAGCAGAAAAGTCAAAACGGTACCGAGAAAAAATCAAACAAAACCCGGAAAATATGAAGAATTTAAGAAGAAGGAATTACGAAGACAAAAAACACCAAAAGAAGATTAAAGAGCTCACTGAGGATGAGAAAATAGAAAAAAGAAAACTCTGGAGAGAACAAAAACGAAAACAAAAAAAAACAAAAACACTCCACCGAATCCACAATCAGGACAATCACGAGACGCATCCAATAATTCAGCTTCACATTCATTGAAAATTAGGTACCGAAAATTGTTAAATAACTATAAAAAGGCTTTAAAGACGATTCGTCAATATAATACAACAATACAGACTCTGAGAAAGAAATTATACCGAATGAAAAAAAAAACATGAAACCGAATTTGATTTATTGAACACAGAAAACGACAAATTGAAAGCAAGACAAGAAATAATGGAAATATCAATTCGTAGTACGTACAGGAATTGTAAGAAAAATAAAGAAAAACAATTACTTAAAAACGTGATTAGGAAACAGGCGCAAATATTGGAAAAAGCACCTGAAAGTAAGATTTTAGGTCTTAAAGGAAGAATCAGGAAAAGGATTAATGTACAACGACCAATAAATAAGAAGACTCAGGAAGAAATAGACCTTTTTTATTTGAGAGACGACATAAGTAAAAACACAGCTGGTAAGAAGGAAACCAGGTCCAAAGACAAACAAAAAGCACAAATAAGATACTTAGTCGATACACTGAAAAACGTATACGAAATTTATAAAAAAGACGGTGGGTCATGCGGCTTCACCACCTTTTACAGATACAAGCCTTATTATGTACTGTCTCCAAGTATCAATAATAGAGAAACCTGCTTATGTATTAAGCACAGTAACTTTGAGTACATGTTTAATGCACTGAAATGTAAAGGTGTCATAACTTACAAGAATATAAAGGAGCTCTTGAACATCGTTGCATGTGATATTACGTGTTATGACTGCATGTACAATAAATGTAAAGATTGTACGAGTATTTCATTTGATGAACAAAAACTCGATTCTGCTATATCATGGTTCAAATGGGCTAGGGTAAACCATGAATATGAAAAATCTGGCAAAGTATATACAACTAAAAAGACCACCAAACAACAAGTAAAATGAACTGTACTTGATATCATCACCAACTTTCAGAACGAGCTACCGGCGTTTAAAACTCATTTCTATAATTGAATTGAACAACAACGTCAATACAGAAATTGTATCAAGAACATGAAAGATAACGAGATACTCATTTTATGCGACTTTTCGGAGAAATTTGAATGTAAATATAGTGAAGAAGTCCAATCAATGCACTTTGGTGCCTCCAAAAACACGATCACTTTACATTGTGGTGTAATTTTTTGAAAAAATCTATCCCAATCATTTGTATCTGTTTCAGATAACAATTGCCATGAGCCGAATGCCATCTGGGCACACTTGATACCAATTATCAAACTTACAAAAGAAATGGACCCTCATATCAAAGTTATACACTTTTTTTCAGACGGCCCATGCAGCCAGTACCGTCAAAAAAAGAACTTTTATCTTTTGAGTTTATTCAACCCAAAATTGAAACTATCATATTCAACATGGTCATTTTTGGAGGCAGGTCATGGCAAAAGTATGGCTACTAACGCCACTGAAGCATTTCAAATTTTAGAAAACAACATGAATACAGTAAAGTGCTTTTACATAAGTAATCAAGATATTGAAAACATGAACCAACTTATTCCCAACGGCATTCAAGCTGTTCCTGGTACAATGCAATTGCATCAAATATCATCTACATAATGTAACCAGATTAAATATCGAATATATAAAAACTTCTCTGACCGATAATCAGAGATTAGTCGAACCTAAATCTGATAGCATAATTCCAATCCTGGAAAGTTCATGCATGACAGCTTCAGATCACGTTCTTGGTAATACCCTAAATAAACAGCTCAATGAGAAACTTGCATCTCTTGAATGTCAGCCCTCTAAGAACATAACGAAAAGAATTTAAGTCATCAAGAACTTTTTTGTGCTCTATTTGCAAGGAGCGTCGGCCTTTTGTTATACAAAGAATGGTAAAATGTAATGCATGTAAAAATTGGGTTTGCCTGATATGTAGCGGAACAACCTTTTTTGACTACATTTGTTCGATTTGTCTTGGGACTGATGAATAGTATGGCTCTGGAAATATCCTCATACATTTCCTCCACCTCCTCATCGGGATGTGCCGAGGTTGGTGCGTAAACCTGAATGACCTTCAGCGAATACCGTTTGGTGATTCTGAGTATCAGGTACGCGACCCTCGTCGACACACTCCCAATCTTTACAACGTTGTTGACGAGAGACTTGTGGACGATAAATCCGACACCTCCTTGGGACAGATGGTCGCCCTCCCGGTGATAGAACAAGTTGCCGGACTCGAGGATTGCCGTGTCCTCCCCCTCTCTTCGGACCTCGGATAATCCAATAATATGCCAGCGCAACTTGTCTACCTCTTCTTCCAGCTCTAGTATCTTCTCGTCAGTCCTCAGGGTGCGTGTGTTATATGTTGCCAGGTCGAGTCGTCGTAGGTGGCAACCGAACCTCCACCGGAGATTCTTAGCACCCCCTGCATGCCATACATTCCTCCAAAACCCACTACACGGTGTTGATGGGAGACTTCAACGCAAAACTAGGCACAAGAGAAAGCGGTGAGCTGAAGGTAGGGAAATTTGGAGTAGGGCAACGGAACCGAAGGGGCCAGCAGCTGGCCGACTTTATGGAGAAAGAGGGACTCTTTATGATGAACTCTTTCTTCCAGAAGCGGCCCCACAGGAAGTGGACCTGGTCGAGCCCCGACGGTTCGACAAAAAATGAGATTGACTTCATTATGACGACCAGACGCCAACTGTTCAGTGATGTCTCAGTGATCGCAAGGGTGAAAACTGGCAGCGATCACCGAATGGTTAGAGGCACACTGAACCTAAACGTTAAGTTCGAGAGGTCTCGTCTAATGAAGTCAACGCTCCGTCCCCCTCGTGCTCTAATCCAGAATCCCGAAACCTTTCAGCTCGAGTTACGTAACCGCTTCCAGTGCCTAGAAGATTGCAATGCAGTGGACGATATGAACGACAAGCTCGTGGAAACTGTCCATGCGGTCGGAGCTAAGTTCTGCAAGATCCGCCGCAGAAGAACACAAAAACTCTCCGATCACACTCTTAATCTCATGGCTGTTAGACGGGAGATGAGGCTGCAATCGTCAACAGATTTGACAGCATACAGGCAACTGCACAGACAGATCTCCAAATGCATGCGGCGAGACTTACGCAACTTTAATACTTCTCGTATTAAAGAAGCGATCGAGCGGAACCAGGGCTCCAAAGTCTTTGCCAGAGATCTGTCTGCCAGAAAGAGCCAACTGTCAAAGCTGAAGACTGAGTGTGGCAACATCGTTTCCGGGACACCTGAGATTTTGAGTGAGATTGAGAGGTTCTATGGGCAGCTGTACACATCATCGTTGGAGCCACACGCAAGTGTGAGTAACGATCCAAGAGCAAGTCTTATCCGACACTATTCCGATGATATCCCGGACGTTAGTCTGAGCGAGATTAGAATGGCTCTCCACCACCTTAAAAACGGCAAGGCCCCGGGCGAGGATGGAATTACAGCGGAGCTTCTGA